GGGGGGGGGTAGGAAGCCGGGGGACTTTAGCAGCAAATGGAGCAAGTGCTGATGGGCCCCGGGTCGGCGAGAGAGAGAGAGGGAGAGGATGCAATTGTCTGGAACGGTCGCGTCGCGGCCCGCTTGAGAGCACGGCTTCTTCAGCCTTCAACCACCCTCTTCAACCAGGAGCGGCCATTTAGCCACGGTTCACGGTCGAAGTTGTCCTTTTCTTTGGCGGTTGATTTTTTTTCCAAGCGAGACTTTTGTTAAACGCAGGAGGCATTGTTCTTTGTTATGACCGTATTGACATTGCGTGACAGAAATACCTCGACATGTCTCTGGTTGAACTGGGTGTCGATTGGGTGTCCCACCCAACAGCGTACAACGGGATAGTTACCTACGCGCTAGGCGAATGTCGCCCGACGTGGCGTATCCCTAGCATGGGAATGGCGTGTGCAAGTTTGCAAGATCAACTCTCGCTTCGAGATCACGTTTCCCCATTGATTTGTATGACAGGGTTCATACTGGCCAGGGAAGTCAGGGAAAAGTCACTCCAACCGCTCTTTGAATCGCGCGCACCACAGTCGACGCACTCTGCGCTGAGCTTGTCATCCCCGTACTAAGAAACCTCCCCCCCCCCTCTTCCCTTACCCCGGGTTCCTTTGATGCCCTTCAAATGCCTCCACGCCCGCTTCACGCCTCAGCAAGCTCTGTTCTGCTGAAGCGTTCGGCCCCGTCGGTCCGTTCCCTGGCGCGGGGCCGTACCCATTTTTGTCACCGGGAAACTTATTTTGTGTTTTACTTCGTTACAGCGTAATTCCATTTCACCTGCCGAGCGTGAAAAGTACAGACCGAGAAGTCCTGTGGAACCAGAGCACAAAAAGATGAAGAAAGAAGAGAAGGATGGCCATGTAAGTTTAATTTTTGACAATTTTTGTGATTGTTGTTTTAGAATTTATTTTATCTTATTTATTTTTTGTTTACAGGCTAGTGATGGCGAGAAAAGTGACCAGGATTTGGTGGTTGACGACGCGAGCGAGGTGAATCACAAAGTCAGACAAATTTTATATTCAATTTGAGTAGAATTAGACACCCTATTAGAAAATGTCATGTTATCATCATATAAGTGTTGAAGTCACAGTTTCAAAGCGATCTTTCTTTCTTTTTTAAAACTAAAATAGTATTTGCTTTTTGTATTCAGTATGCGTGTGACTCTTTTTAATATGACTGGCTTTTTCTATTTGGGCTACTACCAAATTGTGTAAAGTAGATAGATTTGTAGTGACCTGCAGTCCAGTATTTAGTTTGTTTTTAATGTGTGAGTTAGTCGCTAACCTGTCTTTTTTTTAAATTTTTGCAGGACCCTATCTCACCTCAAAATGGCACATCATCACCTCGTGAAAATGGCATTGATAAACTAGCCCCAAAGAAGGAACATGTTGGACCACACAGTCCTCGCAGTGGCACTTCCTCAAATGCCAGCACACCATCCACAAAGAAAATGGATGAGAAACCAACAACTCCTATCTCAAAGTCAGTGACTCCTACCAATGCAGGTAGTGCAAACAACACTGCTGCAGGTGCACTGAAACCATTGAAGCCTCAATCTGCACTTGGTGAGTTTTCAGGCTCGTCTGCATTCTGAGTTTACTGAAACTTTTTATGAGGTATAGGTATCTTCATTGTTTTCTTTTTTACCCAGGTCAATATCCTTATTTGGGTGGTGCTGGGCCCCATGAACTTCCGGGTGCTGGAGGTCCTTACGGACTTCACAATAATTTGCCACCAGGCCTTAATAGTTATCCTCGGCCACCTCTTGTTGGTTATGATCCACATGGTCAAATGAGAGCGCCACTGGGACCTGGTTTAGGAGGAATACCTGGAGGAAAACCGTAAGTTGCAACCGTATGCATGCATAACATAGCATAAAAACAACAGTACGGTGCCCACGGGACACCCTGTATTTTACTGTGCTGCCCATTCAAAAAAATGCTCATGCTGGACCTTTATTTGCAGAGCGTATTCCTTTCATGTAAGTGCTGATGGTCAGATGCAACCAGTTCCATTCCCGCCTGATGCTTTGATTGGACCTGGCATTCCCCGACATGCAAGACAGATAAACACACTTACCCATGGGGAAGTTGTGTGTGCTGTCACTATTTCTAATCCTACCAAATATGTGTACACTGGTGGCAAGGGGTGTGTCAAGGTTTGGGACATCAGTCAACCCGGCTCCAAATCAGCAGTATCTCAATTAGATTGTTTGGTAAGTGTATTGTTTGCTGGTTTAATATCTTTATTTGAAAATTGTAAACCTATGTTAGTGGTGCTTTCCTCACACAACCAGCTGCTTTTTCCCAATTTTATATTCTTGTTAAATTATTATTTTTTTAATTCTGTAGCAAAGGGATAACTATATCAGATCGGTGAAACTGCTACCAGATGGAAGAACTTTGATTGTTGGAGGTGAAGCTAGTAATCTCAGCATTTGGGACCTTGCATCTCCTACACCAAGAATTAAGGCTGAACTTACCTCAAGCGCACCTGCTTGTTATGCATTAGCAATTAGTCCTGACTCCAAGGTAAACACCAACAACACCAATTATTGCACCACAAGTTCTGATATTTTACATCAGATATCTTAATTCTGTGCTCTTTCCCCCTCTAGGTTTGCTTTAGTTGTTGCTCAGATGGTAATATTGCTGTGTGGGATCTACATAACCAATCCCTTGTTCGCCAATTCCAAGGCCACACAGATGGTGCATCATGTATTGATATATCAGCTGATGGGACGAAATTGTGGACTGGTGGTCTAGACAACACAGTTAGGTCATGGGACTTGAGGGAGGGGCGTCAATTACAGCAACATGACTTCTCCTCTCAGGTACAGTTTGCAGTTTGCAGTCAAAACCTTATACAGGTTACTTCAGTCTCAACAATAGTTAACATTGTGTTTATTTGTGTTTCAGATCTTTTCATTAGGGTACTGTCCCACTGGAGAGTGGTTGGCTGTGGGTATGGAAAACTCAAATGTAGAGGTTTTGCATGCAGCCAAGCCTGACAAGTATCAGTTACATCTTCATGAGTCATGTGTTTTGTCTCTTCGGTTCGCGGCTTGTGGGAAGTGGTTTGTTTCCACTGGCAAGGATAATCTGCTCAATGCATGGAGAACACCTTATGGTGCATCAATTTTCCAGGTTTGTATATGTCTGGTTTAGTTTTGAAAAAATCTCTGTTGGATACAACGGTTTTCATCATTTAATCGACCAAACTCTAATTATTTTTCTTGTTTTTGTTTCCAGTCAAAAGAATCTTCATCAGTACTGAGTTGTGACATATCAGCTGATGATAAGTACATTGTTACTGGGTCAGGTGACAAGAAAGCAACAGTGTATGAAGTCATCTACTGATTTCTTTTAGTTTAAGTATCATAATTGACCCATTTGGGAGAAGTGAGCTAAAACTTCTTGATGAGCTCTCTATGTTATTCAACACTTGGATTTAACAAGAGAGTAAATGAAACAGCTAAAGCAAGCATACCATGGCGTAAATTATCTGACAAATGGTGTATCTTAGATTTTCCAGGTGTTGACCTGTTCTGTGATATCTCAGTGAGTGTGTGTACGTATGTGTAAGCATAAATGTGTTATTATGAGTAATTTATGTGCTTGTGCCTTGAGCAGTTACACTTGACTTTCAGTTATGCTTTTCTGCTACGCACTTTGCTCATGACCAATTGTTCTCTGTTAGCCTCATTAGGAGAGCAAATTGTTAATACTTGTACAGTAATTAAACAATCTAAGAATTTTTAGACGTCAGAACTATGTTATTGTCTGTACAGTTTGGCTTCTTATGATTTTCATTGTTACTTCTCTTAAATAATTTTATTTGTGTCACAAAAGAAGTATTTGACATGTATATGAAATGTTGACAGGCAGATGGAATCAACACTTCAACAAAGTGTTCATCAGTTGAAACACTTTTTTTTTTTTTCCATTTTGCTCTAGTTTGTTCTCTTAATGTTCTGTTCCAGTGTTTTTTTTTCTTTTTTAAGAGTACCTATATGGTAACAAAATTGCATCTTAGATAAAGGGAGTTTTGTTATTCTATTTTTTTTCTTTCTTAAGACTTCATTTTGCTCACATGAATGCAAGAATTACTTTTTACAAAAGACTGGTACAGTACTCTCATGTATTTTTATACAAATCGGAACAGATATCCTCATTTGCCAACTTGTCATTGTAGTTCACAGTCCAACATTTTCTAGTAAAAAACATCTTCTGCTCAGTTACAGATCTTATCTCAAATTTATTGCATTTTTCATTTTCCAACTACCTTCTGAATACTGGCGTACAGTATAGACAGACATTCCTGTTGAATAAGTTTGTTTGTGGGATGAAAAGCCTCTAAAATTTTATTTTTGTATATTTTTTTTTTAATCTAAAAATGATTTTGAAAAGACCTTATGGGGTGATCACACCCCTCAACTTTTAAGGGGAAAA